GAGCTCCACCAGGTTTCACCCTGACTGCGAAGACCTTGCCAAGGAGAAGGGGCCTGACCCCTCTGCGGATGCCTCAGTTTGTGCTTCAAGGCCAGGTTTCTGGTTCACAAAACGTAAATCCTGCAACTGCGTTTTGGATTGTGATTGGCCTAAGCTGATCTTGGTCCCAACATGTCCGAATAAATCGTGCATAGTATGAAAACGAAAACTGCCACACAAACCAGGAAGGTCGCGAAGGACGACGAAAAAGTCATGTCCATGGAAAGCCCCGACACAATCCTGAAACGGACCGCTATCTGAGGATCCTTCTCACGTATTCTGATGTGCTTGATCTGCTGCATGAGGGTCTGCGGCCGAACATCTTGTTTGGATTAGCATCTTCGGGGTGTGGCTAGGCGAGATGGAACGCGATGTGCAGTCGTAGAGAGGCAGGGAGAGACCGAGAGAGAGGAGGAGAGAGAGAGAGAGAAAGAGAAAGAAAGAAAAAACAGAGAAAGAAATCATGAATGAATGAATGAATGAATGAATGAATTAATGAATTGAATGAATGAATGAATGAATCAATGAATGAATGAACGAATGAATGAAAGCGACAGAGTGCCACGCGCGCACACACACACAGACACGCACGCACACGCATACATGGACAGAACAGACACCGAGGCCTTAACAAGTCGAAAGTGTGCTTGGCTAATCTTATACTATACTTACCTTTGGTTAGTAGGGAATGGAGGAATGGGGTACAATTATAACTACTATCACTACCATTCTTCCATTCCCTACTAACCAAAGGTAAGTCTTGTAAGTATACTTATGAGAGGAAACCCTCAGGAAAAGGGCTGGTAGTTCTTCAGGCCCCTATGTTAATGCAGGGACCTCAATCATTACGCATACTTTCTTGAAGTCTCCTTGACAAAATTACACTATACTGCCTGAATCCCTATCCTAATTCTTCAGGCCCCTAAACTAAACCCGTCAGTACGCCTGATACCCGTATCGAGAAAACCTCTTGTAATTCTTCAGGCCCCTAAAAAAGAAGGTGCAGTGGAACAGAACCGGGGGGGCCGTTCCTCGAAAGGTGCGACATGAGAAACAAGTTTAGGGGTTTGGGGGCTTTAGGGGGCTTAGCGCTTTAGAGGTTTAGGGGCTTTGGGGCTTTCGGGTTCAGGGCTTTAGGGGTGTCAGGGCTTAGGGATTTTTGGGTTTTGGGGGGTTCCCAGAAGATATCAATGTCACGCAGCTCCATACTGGAGACCTAGCCAAGGCGTACACTGCGCCGAAGAACCTGCCAACCCTCCTCTTGCTGCTGAGGAGCATTTTTCAAAATCTACATTGGAGCCATGTACAAGAGGCGTGCTTGTGTTGAAGACTTAAATATCCGGAATCACTTCAAAGCTTGAACCTGGGTTCTTGCTAAAATGCAGATCGCTCACCCCTGAACCGAAATCCTGATTGCTGCCTGAGCACTGAGTCTTAAACCAATCATCCCAAAACCCTCAACCTTGTAAGCCCAAAACATCAAACCCTAATCCCTTAGCCCTAAATCCCCAACCCCACTGCCCCCACAATTGCACCCGAAACCCTAAGCCCTAAAGCCCCTTTCGCCTCCAGGTCGGCATCCTCAATGTTTTCCTTGATCTTGGAATCCGCATACAAGGCCTGCCACGCACAGAGCCCAAGACCCCTGAATCTGGGTCCGATGCCTCAGGTTCGCAGGTCATAGGTTAAGGGCTTAGGGTTTTGGGTCATAAGGCAGAACCCTTCCAAAAGTTAGGATACGTCTTTTTTGGAGCAGTGATAGCACGACTTCTTATTCACACACACTCTCGCTCATTTGGCGCGCAGGAAGCCCAAAAAAAAAGAACATTCAGGGCTCAATGTTTACCAATCTGAACTGATGTTTCGGACTTTCGTTTTGCCATCCAGCTCGCGGAAAGCTGCAGTAGGTGAAGCAAATTGGAAGACTCAGCTAATGCACAGCCTTTGAGTCAACAAGTCAGCCACTGAAACTGGAGCCTCAAAAACCAGGGCCCAGAACCACCGAAAGCAAAAGCAACAGTTACAATGGGATTTTGGGGTATATTATATTCTGAGACATGATCTTGGTGCCTATTCAAGCCTGCTTCCGTGGGGTCCCGAAGGCCTCAAAAGGCCCGGTGGGTCCACACTTGCACCGGCACTCCAAAGCAATCCACAAACGTAATCTATGGGCTTCGATAATTACTCTGTTTAAGGTTAAGGGCTCAGAATACGGTTTTGTGGCATACTGTACTATATATAATATATAGAATACTGACCCGAACAGCATTCGGAACTATTCCGACCTCTGTACGGGAGTTTCTGAACATGAGGGGCACCATACTTAGGACTTCAGAGCCTTTATGAAGGAGTCCTACTGTGCACGGGTTCCTCATTTTCTGAGCCCCTCTTGCTGGCCCTCAAGCACTGGGAAGGTTTGCGACAAAACTTCGGATGTCGGCTGAGTGGTGTACATCCGACCCTTGTTTGTGTGGGGAGATGTACAATTACCAGCTATTCAAACACCCAGTCGTATACGGTAACCCTGTAATGTAGGGGCCTTAATGATTCAAATAGCGTTTTGGGTGTTCCTTATTATCAGTATAGTATAATATACCCCCAAACCCTATTCTAATTATTAGATAAGGCCCCCACAGTAAACACAGACCGTCCAAAAAGCACGCTGCATGGTGCAGTCCATGCACCGCTGCCGGAAACGACTGCCCGCCGTCTCGTAAACTTGGGAGTCTCAAGACTCCCGAAGATCCAGAATCGCCGCCCCTTTGGATTCCCAGGAATTCAGCTCAGCTGGGCTCAGTGTTCGGAACCTCTGAGGTGTGGAGAGCCCCACATTGTGATGCGCAGCAACTCCCAGGTCCGCAACCTAAGGAGCGAAGCAAAGAATCGCAGGCTTGCCATAGCCACTGGTTGAGGTATTCGCGGCAGGGATACCCCAAAGAGGTTGTTGAAGAAGTCCGTGATGTTGTGTGGAAGCTCACGCTACGAGTGGCCAACCACGATCTTCTCGGCATCGTCACGGCGTTCAGAAACCGCGAAAGGGTGCAAGACAGCGAGGTCATGCGGTCATGATGCTCTCACGCTGGAACTGTGGCCGCACCACGACGGCTGGACAGCTTGCTGGCCGCATCTAGTGCAAGGGCAACCACCGTCTTTACGTCGGTCTCGAACTCCGGAACTTCGAAAACATCCACCGTATATTTCCGAAAGCAGCGTGCATTTTCGGCAGGCGGTGCTGCAACGCAGGCATGATGAACCTTAGGTGTTCACCCAAACGGAACAGCACAGGAGCCACCTTTGCGAACTGCCCTTCCGAGAAACATGGGCTGCCTGAGCCCAACTTCCCCACTCACTGCCTCGGCTGCAAAGCGAGAAAATGCCGCTTCCGCGAAATTTTGACGTGAGCCTGTTGCAGCTGTGAATGATAACTTGGTACGTTGGGGGTTCAAGCAAGGGGCTATCACACTCTGATGTGCTGTGATATCTTGCTCTCCTGATCTGGATCAAGCACTGCTGATGTTGTACGAAAGTTGCTGACAGGCCGCGGGGATTCATGTCCCAGGCGGGCACATCTTGCTGCGGCAAGCGGTACATCGCTGGCGGCTGTGTCCAGCAGCTGCCAAAATGCCTCGAGATGTGCGCAATCGCCGGAGACAACAATGCCAGCCAAACGACGTATTTTGCCATTCCAATCACATGATAGCAAGCTGGAACAGATGCAGAAAAAACAAAAACAAAAAAACTGATAAGCTGAAGGACGTGCCAAGCGTGCAATCAAGCCTGGGGCCTAGCTGCAAGAGCAATAGAGCAGCAAGAGGACTCACCGCAATGGCCCACCCTCTACAAACGACCGCAGGGATGTTCTGGTGTTTTCTCCTTCGAACTCATACGTCCATGCGGCACTTCTAGACTGGAGACATGAGTCACCGGCCGGATTCTGATGGCATATGCATTCCTAGGACCACATACTGGTCAAGTAGATGCTTTCGTGATGGAGTCGATCACAAGCAGCGTTGACAAATACTTCTCATGAAGGGCCGAAAAACACACCGTTGATTCTTGTACACCCAAAAGAAGCGACCTCAGTCCACTAACTGAAAGCATGATGCGCACAGGTTCTCCGACAAGTGGCCCGGTTTTGCACTGCAAAACTCACAACAACCCCAGACAGAACTGGACACATAACATCGCAAACGTAGGTGCAAAACCCAACGAAAATGCGATGAACAACGAGACAAGCTGCGACTACACCTTTGATGTGAGGAAACTCGTGTGTGTCAGGGCCACTGAACACTGGAAACACGGGTTGCGACTTTTATGGTATCGGAAACTCTCCCGATGCAATCACATCTTGAAGCACAAGCTGAACTAGTAGATGAGTCCTAATACTAAGAACAACCATATCGCAACCGAGTTCAAGATCTTTTGGAGCGATTCCGAAACGACAACCGATAAGGATGCGGGAATTAACATGTGGAGTTTCAGAAAAGAACCAGTGCCCTACTAAACAAGGAAAGAGCCTCCCAGAATTCTAAGGTTCGATTCCTAGGCCAGCAGGTGCCGGGAAGAAGGTGTCAGGACCTTTTGCCGCAACTGCAGACGCAGTGCATTCCCTTGGAGTTTAGGGCTTGTCGTCTAAGGATGAGGCTGGGTTCTTAATCTAAGTTATCATAATAGGGTTCTATAGTAATTCATATGGTTTCCTATTATTAGAGTAACTTAAACCAGACCCCTTAACAAGAACCCAGTAGGCTTGCAAGGTTTAGCAGCTCATCTCTTCATGCCCAGGCTGCGCCAACAGAATATAAGGGCCTTACTAGTTAGATTAATGGTTTGGGGCCCAGTATACTGCAGTTATAACAAGGGACCCCCAAATAGTATAGGTAATTATTAAGGCCTCAACAGTTCGCAATTAAACTGCCGTTTTCCGAGTTGCGTCAGGCTTTCCGGAGGACCAGGATGCAGCCTGGGCTCTTGGAAAAACTTGGTTTAGGGTTTAGGCTTTAGGGTTTAAGGGGTTATGATTATGGTTTACATCTGTTTAAATAAAGTTTACCATACTCGGTTTATTGAGTTTACAATACCCGGTTTTTAAGTTTAAGAGATGCCCTTAAGGGCTTTCGTCGGGCCCTTCCCGCGGGGAGTTCAAAGGGCGCTGAGAATTCTTCAACACCTCGATCTCCATTGATATGGGAGATTCGGAAAACTAGGGGGTGAATTGTGTTTGGGGGTGCTTCTAATAAGCGCCTATTTTCGGAAACCCCCATATCATATACTGAATACGTTTAGCGATGTGCTTTCCTTGTTTACTTCAATTGAATTTGATTTGAGCCGAATTCCTGAACAAGGACCCAGCAGCTCAATCACGAAGGAGCCACTTTGCAAGAAAGGAGTCCAGGCTAGTGTGGCGCCGAAGGTGGCGATCAGCACCTCCAAAGCGTCAGTTTTGGATCTTCAGATTCAAGCCTTCGAACGGTTTGGGGTTATGGGGTTTAGAATTCATGACTCTATTTCCAGTTCCTCGCGTTTTGGTCAAACGCTAAACCCCAAACCCTGTTCCTTGCCAAGATCAGCAGATCAGCACCTAAACCCGGGTTCAGGGTTTAGCTTAGGGTTCAGGCGTAATGTGATCACTTTCTCCTATACCCTAAGGTAAACAAGTTTGCAAAGTCTGACACGGAAAACAGATTTCCTGGTCCCCTGTACGACACGTCAGGAATCCAGGGCTGAAGAATTTACTTGGAGCTGCCTACACCACAAATCTGAAATTCCTGAACTCGCAATCCTACACCCTAAATCCTGAACTCTTTAAATCCCCACCGCCCTATTTCAACCCTGATAACCCTAACCTTACAACCACAGGCCATTCCGGCATACCCTCCGGAAACCTAGCTCCTAGCTCCCAGACCCTCCTGTGACCCCAGATCCGCTTGCAGTGGCCTGGGTCCGAAAGAGGATCAGCTGCAGCTGGTGCAGCAGAGGGTAGTCTTGCATCCTGCCCAGAGTCGGGGCCCAAACATAAGAATCTCACAATACCTCTGGTTTAGGGTTTAGGGCTTAGGGTTTCAGGTTTTCCAGGTGGACACGCTTATACCCCCGGAAGTAGGATCCTTATGCTCAGGTGCCCGGCCTTGGGACTCGGTTGTTTCGGCAGAGTTAGACGGGTAGCTATACTCAAAGGGAGAAGGAGGGACCCTCAATGGGGACATGGGCTATATAATGGGTATATAATAGCTATATCAAGGGCAATATACCTAGGGGTCCTTATTAAGGGTCCCTCCTGTTACGCTTGGATATACAAACACGACCAGGTATACTAAGGCCTGGCCATGCGTTACATATGGCATTAAACCCTCCCATCTCAAGAACCCCACACCGAAACACAACGCTACAGGACCCTGAACCCCTTCGAAGCATTGACATCTGAACCTTTAGCCTAAACCCTAAACCCCTAAACCCCTAAACCCCTGAACCCTAACCCTAAATCCCTAAACTCCTAAACCCCTAAGCCCCTGAACCCTAACCCTAAATCCCTAAACCCCTAAACTCCAAACCTTTAGCCTGGAGTCTTTGCAGCGTTGAAGGCTCCTCGCTGTGACCAGCGACAGCAGGCCCCGGCCTCTCATTGTAGAATCCTTAAGGGAAGGGGGTCCAAGGGGGGTATATAGCCTAGTGATCCCTAATTCTCCTTAGTACTCCCTAAGGTTCCCTTACAGTCCCCTAAGGATTCCTTATACCCTCCCCCCTTGAACCACCCTCCCTTAAGGATCCTATAATCTCAGAGGAGAGCATCTCAGTCACTTTGCTTTCCCAAAACCCCTAAGTAAGGAAGAAACCTTAAATGGGTGGTTGTCAAAATTACGGTCCCTTGTTGGGTGCCCTAAGTATTAGGCCGCACTATATTATGGACACCATAATTTTGACAAGCACCCAAAATCATAATAGGGCTTATTAGGGTTTAAGTAAGGAATATAGCTGACGTCATATTCGGGCGATCAGGGTTCCTACTAAATTTGAAGGGCTATTCTTAGTTAAGGGATGTGGGAGTCTCTGGATGTTTGGAGCTGAGGCAAGGCCTGGGAGGCGAATCCTGGAGCATTCAGGGGTTCAGGATTTCGAGTTGAGGGCTTAAGATTTTAGGGTTTCGGGTTTAGGGTTTAAGGTTCAAGGTTGAGGGTTTCAGGGGAAGTGCAGAAGTTTCGGAATTTCGGGCTCAGAGTTCAGAACGTCAGCTTTTGAGTCTCTTCGCAAGCTCTGAACCCAAACTGCGAGTTCCAAACGGAGAGTCACAAGTCGTTCTTGTTCCGGGCCCCTACCTATCCGTTCATACGCGCCACGCACACGCCAACTTCAAAAAAACAACATGGTTTGTGTGTGTGTGTGTGCGCGATACCAAAATCAGTATTCGCCCGGTCGAACTTTCCGGCTTCTACATCCCCCGGCACTGAATGCTCTCGCTGACCA